GGCCAGTCTACAATGCCCTCCCAGCACCCTTGAGTTTATGCGCCTGGTGTCAGCAAATCTCCTCCCGCAGGCTGGGGAGGCCAGGCCTGTCTCCGGCCCTGGCAGAGCTCTGGAAGCAGTGGCCGAGGTCAGCGTGGCTCTGTCATACTCAGACACACCTGCCGAGGCGGCACACACCTCTCAGACACGGTGGCGGCTGCTCTGGCTCATCTGTAGTATCTTAAGGCCATAATTTAAATTTTAAGCACAAGCGCTTTTCTAAAACCTGAAAGCTCAGATGCCAGCAAAATTAGAACAGTTTCTCTAGAAATCAGTGTTTGCTTGGGAAATTGACATTTATTAAACAGACAACACTGTTTTCAAAAACTACTTTAAAAAGCTGCCAACCAGCATGAAACGAGAGAAGGTCTAACAGAGCAGAAGCAAAGAGAGGCTTGGGGGGCGGGGGGCGGGGGGCAGGCCGGGCCCAGGCAGGCAGGGAAGCCAGAGCTGCCAGAACCGTTCCCATGACAGACGGGCAGGAGGGCTGCTCCCTTCTACTACCCGCCCCCCCCCTCCCCCGGCTCAGCAGCACAGGCTACCGCTGAGCTGGAAACAAGAGCCCAAGGAGGCCCAAACCGTAAGTTTCTGGAAAAGGCTAGAGGCCTTGTCACACAGCAACAGGGCCTCAGGGAGGACAGACCCCCTCTCGAGTTCCCGTGTCTGCTGACCTCGGACCCAAGACAGAGGTCAGAAGGCTGTAGGGATTTACAACCTTAGAGATCATTTTTATTGTCACCTTTTGCTCCGAGACAAGTACACGGTGAAGAACTGGGTAGACAGAGGCCTTTGGAACCACAAGGGGCGGGGGTCAGGGGCGCCCCCTGCAGGCAAAAATCCAAGTATAACTTGGACTCCAAAAACAATAGCCACTGTTGACCAGAAGCCTTACTGGGAACACAATCGATTAACACATATTTTGTATATATCATATTCTGTATTCTTAGAAGCAGCTAGAGGAAACAATTAAGAAAATCACAAGGCAGAGAAAACACACTTACAGCGCCGCACTGTATTTATCAAGAAAATGCGCACCGGTGGGCCCATGCAATTCCAACTCCTGCTGTTTGGGGTCGACTGTACAATAAATTAACCCAAGACCTACAAGGTGGTGCAACCGAGAAGAATGAAAAGGAACAAATGGTTAAAAAAAGCTAACCCCGAAAAGTAATTACAAAAAAAAAGGCGAGAAATTAGAAGAATACGCTGGATCCAGGATCCAGGAAGTGTTACTTCTATTTGCATTTCAAATCCCTGTTGAGGGAGCAACTGGTCTTACATTCAAAATGTCATTAACTATATTTAGAGCCACACATTTACTTGCTTTTAAAGACAAGTGATTTTAAGTGACTTTGTGGTTCACAAAGTGCTTATCTACTCAAAGGTTTTAAATGGGCACTTACTTGACCACAGGAACTCTCTCAGGCCTCAGGAAAACACTGTGGCCCGCCCCCCCACACCCACCCCCACCCCACGGAGGCCCCTCCACCGTCCGCTGCTTTGCTGCTTTGTCGCAGACTGGTCATTCTTGGGCGCAGAAGAAAGGCACTCATCATTCAGGAAAAGTACTCCAGGGAGGCCAGGGGTCGGGTGGGCTGCAGACTCCCTTCCTTCACTCAGTGAGGGAGCGCCCTGGGGGCAGCTGAGCCGGGAAACCTCCCCCACCCCACCTGGAGCTGTGCTAAAGCCCACAGGGGCGACGCTAAGTTTAAAGCTGCTCTGTATTCAAAATAACTCTAAGGCAAAGGAAGAAAAAACTTAAGGTTAAAAGAAAAAAAAATCACATCTAAAACTGGAGAGCATGGGCCTCGAGGTCATGCTGGGGGCGGCCGTTACACAAGGGCACATCTCACAGGACTCCACTTGGATGAGGAGTGTGCAAGAGGCAAACCCAGAGACAGAAGGTGGACGGTGGGTCCCAGGGTCAGGGGCCGCTGGCAGGGGGTGGAAACAGTCTACAATTACCGTAGTCGCGGTTGTACAGCCCCGTGAAATACACGAAGGCCCACTGGACCCTGAGCTTTGTGGATTCTCTGACCACAAAACTCCTGTAAACTTGACTCCCTGTGCTACTGGTAGATCATTCCCAAAGGGAACTGGTAAGCAGCCCAGGTTGGCTTTACTGACTAGTCCAGGGTTAGCGGACAAGGTCTGTGTCCCCCTCGCGGCCCCACCCCCAGATCTCCTGGGGCGGGTCCTGCAGGCCCAAAGCGCGGCCGCTACGCATCACCAGGGGCCCCCAACCCCTCAAGGCCCGCCCTGCTCAGAGAGAAAACCACCTGCCTACAGCCAAGTATTTTAAGCGATAAAGTGCTTTCACACTCGTGGGCCTGCTGGCCAAATCTTACTGAGAGCCTCAAAGCCCCAGGGCCCCATGCTCAGCACCGGGTCCCAATTCAGCCTCAGGAGCGCTGTGCACACACACAGGACACCTGACCCACGCCACCGGGCCACTCGGCCTCGCCTCCCAGCTCTGCTCACCATGTGCCATTTTCCTCCTTTCCAGTCATTCTCTCCCTTGAAAATTCGAGCATGTACTGAATATGGTGTTTTGTCTGTGGGTAACATCTTAAGAGCTTTCCTAGCTCCCTCCACAGCAGGTTATGACGGTCACTTCCACAAGTGCCCTCTAGCCTAGGTTACAGACGACCTCTGTGTGCATAAGACGGGGGGGGGGGGGGGGGGGGGGGGGGGGGGGGGGGGAGTAACCAAAACAGCAGGTCCCGCTGCAGCTGAATGTGTGCCGCTGGTACCAGCCAAGCGTCCTCTCCTGAGTTGTCAGGGTGCCTCCCAAGCCCGGCGTCTAACCCCCAGCCCACAGCTGACCCCCTGCCATCGCCTCCTTCCTTGTTCCTTTCACGCTCGAAGACCTGTGGCCCCGTCCTGCGTCTTGCCGGTGTCCACAGGGACCTCCTGGATCACATGTCCCTCCTCTCCAGCCCGAGACCGGTACTTGGCGAGCTAATAAGCACAAGTACAACCCCCTTCCTGGAGGACAGAAACCCCACCCAAGAGAAGTTAATACCCTGAGCCTCACAAGGGGCAATCAGAAGGGCAGGTCCGCGAAGATGCTCTTCCTACGCCAAGGTCTCAGGAGGCAAATATTGCTGGTGACAGTGGGGAAGAGCCATGTCCCCCCCCAGCCACACCCTCCCCACAATGCAGCAAAGGCACACGGGGTGGCTGTCTCCTGGACTGGATGCTTTGTGGAGGGACCGTGCCTCTGTACAAAGTCAGCCTACAAAGGAGATTCTGAATTCTGAGCAGCAGTCTCTCCTCCCTCATTCAGAACTGCTGGGACATAACATCAACCCTCCCCATCCCTCCCTGTCCAGACCCTCTAGTACTGGTCTTTTAAAAATATGGTTATGTGCTGCCCGTTCCTAGAAACAGGAAGATCATGGTCAGCTCCACAGGCAGAAGGCCTCGTTTGTAATGACTGAGGGAGTATGAACAAATGCAATATTCTCTGACTTCATTTCCCTCCTGAGCGTGAGAGTTTTAACACTGATGCTGGCTGAAGAATGATCTTCAAGACCAGGTGAGGTCTTCCAGATACGCCTGACGACATGTGGAGAGTTTCTAACAAGCTACAAAAACCTGGAGTTAAGGTCACAGGCTTTCCAGGGCAAAGGGGCTGTGGTCCAAACTTCTCTGCAAGGCTTACGGGTGGCTCTCAACACAAGGGAGAAAGAAGTTCAGGGAGAAAGCCTTTCTGAGCTGCTGCGTCTCCGAGAGCCAGAGCCTTCTGCCTGGGACATGAGCAGAGCACGTCACTGCAATGCAGAGACTGGGTGACAGCTCACTGGAAATCCTCAGGGTCTTTTCCCCCAGGCAGGCTCTGGGGCTTCTGAGAAACGGGTGCGGGGCTTCCCAGGAGGACCTCGGGTCCACTGAACCACGTGTCCTGGATTCCTGGGAGCGGGGCGTCGCCATCCACAGCGACCCACAGACAGCCACACGTGGCCAGCTACGGCACTTCGGCCTCCATGCCCCCTGACAACCTTCTCGTTGTAGGCGAGGGAGGAGAGCACAGGGGGCAGACAGAGTAACTGGCAGGGTCCAGTTTTACACTTTGCTAGAATGACATTTGGGGCCACACTCTAACTAACTAATCTACAAATTTACAGAAAACATTTGTAGTTTATTAAAAATTCTAAGAACACCAACACGCAAAGTCCTCTGTCTGGTGTTTATATTCCTTGCTCTTGGAACACGTTTGGGCTCCATCCTGAGAACTATAAATCACTCACTATAACGAGGAAAGGCCTGGAGTTTTACAGCAGCACACGGTGATCACCAAGTGCCCTGAACAAAAGCCAGGCAACAATGACCTTAACCACTGTACAGCCGGAGGCCACGTTCATAAGATCTATTTTAAAAATACCTTTTCTTTCACATGAGTCTGAAGGAGCAGATCCGATCTGTTTTGCCTCTTCCTGAAATGGAAGTAAAGTTCTCTCAGATTATTCGCTTCTAACATGCTGCCCTCAGTAGCAAACATGGCCTCCTGCTAATCTGAGCCTGCAGACACGTGGCAGATGTGTGTGCAGCAGCCTGTCTACATGTGCATCAGCGCACATGAGCCCACATGCGCGTGCACGCACACACACACGCGCGCACACACACACCTACCTGCAGAGGACAGCAGTGGGCAGCCCTGCAGTGACAAAAGCAACTGAATTCTGTGGTTTCCGCTTTCCTCATCTAAGCTGTCCTGCTTAATGTTAAACCAGAACTTCCCTCGACTTTGTCAAGGTGCTCTGCGTCTCCGTGTGCACGCCCTACGTGTCCACTTCGGCACCACGTGTGGCGTGACTCAGCACACCACAAGGAGGCGGCCACTACGTGCCCACCTCACAGACACCCCTAAACCGGAGGTCAGAGTGATGCACGCATCACAGATTACACCTGCCAGAGGCCAGCGCGTGGGGTTTGTAAAGGGGCAGCCACTGGGATACAGTTCTTTGTCCTTCCTGAGGAGGTCATTGTACATCTGGTCGTAGGTAGTTTTGAAATCATAAACATTTGGCTTGTCCGGTGCTGGTCCTGGGAGCTTCACATGGGTTCCTGTTCCAAAGGACCGGACGCTGAATCCCCGTTTGCTGAAAGACACAGAAGCAGAGAAAGAATCACAGTTAGGATTAAGGCACAAAGCTCTGAAACTAAGAGATAGGACATGGGAAACAGAATGAGTCACTGCCAATGCTATAGAACAGGCTTTTAAATCTGTAACTTTTGGCATCGTATGCACAGACTGCCAGCAATCCAGACATGCAGGGTTAGAGAAGATTTCTTCTGGAACATTCCTGATGCCTGACCACTACCCTGACCTCTACAGAGGGTTCAGGTTCACAGGACCCCTATTTCCAGACTCCGGAGAGACTCTCACAGACTTGACAGCACACGTTACCATAGGGAGCGCCACACGTCCTGTCCCCAACATCCTGTGGTGTGGGGCTTGCCGAGAAACCAGAACTGAGGGCCCAGGGGCATCCAGCAGCACCGTGTTGGCTGCGAGGGCTGAGAACAGACAGCTCCCAAGCGGTGGAGACTCTTGTAACTTGGATCAAAGATAAGGAAAGGGACCAGCGCGTCTCCTAACCAACCGGGGAATGTGCACAAAGCGCAGCCCGTGACAACCTGCACGGGGAGAGCACTCCGCTCACAACATGCATCATGGGTGTGAGGCCCATGACGCTCTGTCACCACCGATAACCACTCTTGGGTCTGCAGCGGTCACATGCAAAAGTCAGTCTGGCAAGAGTCAGAACTTGCAAGCTTCTAAACTCAAAATGAGTAAAAGCAAAAAGTTTAAACGTTAAAAGGGTCTTAAATAAATGGGACTTCTCATCATAGCTGTCTATCTATAAACCATAATATTTCTGTATCTGAAGGGACTTGCCCAGCTGTAGGACTCGGGAGAGCATCTGTTTCCCACATCCTTCCCGCAGGCCCACCTGGCGAGAACGGTCTCAAGCTCTTCTGGGTTTTTCTCGAACTCCAGGGCTATGTGACTGTGTCCGGAGATATTTTTGGTTTTTACAACTGGGAGATGCTACTGGTATCTAGGTACCAAAGAGGCTGCTAAGCCCCCAACGGTGAACAGGATGGCCCTTCGGCCCAGAACGTCAACAGGGCCGAGGCTGAGGATGCCCTGAAGTAGAGGAGACAGATAAATCCCTGAGGAGCAGGGGTGTGGACACAAAAGTTACAGGAAGCAGTTTCATCTCACTCATCACAGAGAGAAATGCCTCAGCCGAAGGCCGAGAAGTCTGCTCGGTGTCAGGGCTCCCCCTGCCACGTCAGCACCACGCAGCAAGGACGTGTCTCTTGCTCACCGCTGCACCCCCAGCTCCTACAGCAGTGCCCGGCACACAGCAGGCACACGGTACGCGATGGATGGCAAATGTGCAGCAGTTTCCAAGGGAGAAAAATCTCAGACAGTGCTGCTGGACGGACTTGTGAGCCTCTGGACAGGGCGCGGACATCCAGCAAGTGCAAACCGCCACCCCCTCCAATGTACACACTTCCCTCTGGAAGTCTGTCCTGCGGGCTACGTGCACACATCTGCTAATGGCCCGCAGGACGCTACCGCAGCCCTGGCAGAAATGACCCGTGTCCCTCCATGCAGCAGGACACCACTGCCACTGTGTAAAGGGCAAGGGGCGCCACACACACAAAATTTGGTGCGATTATTCACAGAAAAAGCAAAGAGTGGAAACATGCCCAACTCTGGCAGCACAGGCGCCTGGGAAGCGCTGTGTCCCAAGGGGGAAGAGAAGCCTCAACACCCGGTACCTATACGGAGCATCAAATTAGAACAGGGACGTCTGGGTGGCTCTGTCGGTTAGGCGTCTGACTTCAGCTCAGGTCATGATCTCACAGTTCAAGAGTTTGAGCCCCGTGTCGGGCTCTGTGCTGACAGCTCAGAGCCTGGAGCTGCTTCTGAATCTGTGTCTCCCTCTCTCTCTCTGCCCTTCCTCCACTCATGCTCCCTATCTCTCTCTCTCTCTCAAAAATAAATAAACGTTTAAAAATAAATTAAAAAAAAAAGTTAGCACATACTGAGACAAGGACTTTACAAGTGTTCCTCACCTCACCTGAGTCCTGGGAGGCTGGTAAGGGCGGAGTCACCTGCCTACGTCCCTAGAAGTCCAAGTTGTGCAAGCAGGCCCGCAGGACATCACCTATGACAGAGCAAGCACACGGCCAGACAGCAGGGGCTGAGGATTGGCAAACCAAGGCCCACATACACCTGAACTGTTAAAACCCTGAAGACAACCAATACTTCTTTCACTTAATCACAATGCACCCTGTGCTGTGACTAGAGTGACGGCCACAGGCACAGGACACCTCTACTCGTGTGCCCTGAGAAGATACATGCAAACTATCTTCACCCCAAATCTGAACCCATTTCCTCACCAGTTCAGATCATGTGTGATCAAGTACTCCCTGCCAGGGCACCGACAAGCCCACGATGAAGGTCGCCTCAACAGCCGATGGACACAAGCCGCCGCCCAGGCACCCGCCACCTGCTCACCTCTGAGGAAGGTCTGTGGGCACCTGCTTCCATGCGGGTCCCATTCCCCTAAAAGGGTCCTGAACGAGCAGGTCGTGGCCACAGAGCCACGGAGAACAGAGCGGTGAGCCCGTATCTGTCAAGAACTGTCCGGAACAAGCAGCCTACTGTTTTAGCTCCGGGCCAGTTCCCCCTCCCAAGTGTCCTCAGGGCGCCCCCCTGGTCGGCAGGTGACCACTGCTCACAGGCTTGATGAGACGTGGCAGGTGCACATCACTGAGAGAAAAAGGGAGGGATTCCCAAGACCAGCCCAGGGCCAGCAGCAGAACCCGCCCTGTCGGTGTGCGAACCCGTGCCAAGCCTCGAGTCTCCTGTGAGTTTACTCTGTGGCTCCTGGAAGAGCAAGACTCCTGAAAGCGCCACCAGCATCCGCGACACGGGCTAGCCGGCTCCACTGACCCCTCGCCTGTGTCGCTCACACCCCCAGCACCTGCTCGCCCAGGCAGCTGGGAAGGAAGGAACTGCACCAGCCGTAGAAATAAGACCCCCAAGCACACGACCAAAGTTTCAAAAAGCGAAAAACCGCCACTGCGTCCACTGGCAGGGTTATCGTTCCATTTGATGGGACAATGTTTCCTGGAGCGTCCTGTGTGCTGGGGATACAGCAGTGATGAAACAGACGCAAACCTCTCCCCTCACTGTCAGGAGGCGGGCAGAGGGATGACAAAGTAGGTAAAACAGCCAGTACACTTGACAGACAGGCCGGCGAGAGGACAGCAGCGGAGACAGCCGTGGGGGGCATGGGAGACAGGGCACCACAAAGCGCTGCACATCCTACCCCATGACGGGGCCCTAGGGTGCTTCAGGCAGGCCACCTGAAAGCTGCCCACTGGCTTCCCAGGAGGCTCCCACGGGAGAGACCACGAGTGCAGGGACTCCCGTCCCCTCCTGCCGGGCCGCCCCCTGGCAGGCCCACCTCTCTCTTCTACCCATCTTCCGTCACAGGGGCGTTTGAGGCTTGCAGCAGGTGTCTGAACGGACATCTTCCACTTCAGTCTGTCCATAGCCACAGAGTAGATCATACCAAAGCTAACCCAGCCAACACTCCACCTGGCTGATCCTTCGCAAGGCTTCCAAGGGGGTGACTGCCAGGTGGGACTCTGAGGGAAGGAAGCCGGCCCCTGCTAGGGACAGCCTGGGGGCCCGCCCTCCCCGCTTTTCTGAAATGGCAATCCAGTGTATTTTAAAATAAAACGAAATGCGGCCTGCTCTTCCCCAACAGAATGTTCCCAAGTGGCAAAAAGACTAATTAGCAACAGAAGCTCCCTTTCTTCTCAGCTGATGCAAGTGACAGAGCAGCCCATCTTGTGCTGTGACAACACTGTGGTGTGACAACGATCTTACATAAGAGAACTGAATGCTATAAAAACATTCCTGACAACCAAGAAGCTTTGTCTCAAGGACCAACTATTTTGTACATTAAACCACCCTTCATCGAGTATCTTCACAAGTATCAAAAAGCCCATCATAAAGAACCTATCACAGAAGATGCTAAATTTCGGGAAATGAATTGTTTCAATTATCATCCCATGGCTAACGGTAAAATGATGTTAAAATGAACACCAAAGAGGATCATAAGTAGAACATCCAAATTTTCCTGCGTGGTTATTAACCTAATTTCCAGCATTCCTGTGGCTATGAGTGAACCCGGGAGCCACCGCCAGCCTCCTAAAGGTACACGCTGTGTGAAGAAGGGCGCGATGCGCGCACGAGGCCCGGTCACCTCCACTACAGGCACCTCGCTCACCGCCCAGCGGCCCGACGTCCAGCATGTGGTGACCGCACGTGTACGGAACACAGAGCACCTGCTCACAAGCATCACACCCTAGTGGCTGCCTGCAGCGTCACCGCGAGGCGACTGCAGGACGTGCTCCTCTGGAATGTTAACGCTCCGGTGAAACTTAGGTCATCCTCTGCCAAAAGCGGGCTGAAAGCACGTTTTATGAAAATGCACATCAGTAAACATTTCCTAGGGTTTACACCTTATTCTTACCCTCCCACAAGGTCAACAAAACTGAGCAGCTAAGCAGGAGATCACTTGTCAGACTGAGACCAGTGAGCCAGCAAGTTCAGCGGCCGCACCAGCACCCCTTCTTCGACGTTCCTCCCTCCACAGCTGCTCTTCCTGAACCCTGGCTGCTCGCATGCCTTGCGCTGCCGGTTCCGGGCAGCGCCACCGCCGCTCCACCCCGCAGCGCCAGCAGAGCAGGCCCGGGAGACCTACACTTCAGATGGTGCGACAAGTGACCACTGATGTGCTGCTGCTTTCCTGCTCCGACACTTGCTGGCCCTAAACAAGAACGCGTTACTCACAGACGTGAGCCCTGCTCTGGACTCCTATTCTCCTCTACACGAGATTGAAAAAGATGACCCTTCACACAGGGAAGAATGTTGTAGCTCCGGGAGCGGCTCCCATGTTTGGTCTACCCCGTTCTGAATCCGTGTTTATTCAAACAAAAATCTACATTTCTCCACCCACCCCCTCACAGCAGTTCTACCTCTGAGGACAAAGCAGAACACGGTCCCTTCAGATCCATGGAGGTAAACGCGTCCCCTGTAGGCGCCGCTTCTACATCCTCAGCCGTCTTTTTTTAAGCTCATTTATTTAGAGAGAGAACATGTGCATGTAAGTGGGGGTGGGGGGGATCCCAAGCAGGCTCCATGCAGAGCCCGATACAGAATCGACCCTACGAACCACGAGATCACCATCTGAGCTGAAATCCAGAGTCAGACAACCAACTGAGCCACTAGGCACCCCACCCTCTGCCATAAAAATGTGATTTCAAATCCTTTCATTTTCCCAAATGATTTCCATTCTTCAAGTGTGCTCAGAAATAAAATTCAAAAGATACAGCCAAAGAGGCTGCAGAGCATAGCTCTCCCTCCCTGGTAGAGGACAAGAGGCGTCTGAAACGGAGGATTTAGCACTACAACTGGCCATGCTGTTACAGCATAACCGCAGGAAGTCTAACACTTGCTCCCACCTGGGAAAGGATGTCCAATTGCTCCTTATCCAGAGTGGCTGGAGGCCCAAAGGCTCTAGTCAGGACATTAAGATTTGAGAGTCTCACCCCAAATCGGAAAACCACAGGACCTCAGCCAATTCGGCTGCCCTCTTCAGCCCATGCTTTTCCCATCTAGAATCTCGGTTCATAACCGGAGGCCCTTGTGTCCCAGTCCCTGCTGCCACTCATGAGCCAGGGCCTCCTGTGCCGGGTTCCATCTCCTCACCTGTGTTAAATGTGAGCTTCCTAACAGTTACAAGGACGACAGCAAATAACATTTAGAAAGCATCCAGCAGAGAGGAGCTCAAGAGACTGACCCCCCACGTGGCTTCCTTCGCATCTGTAGCCTATGCTCATCCTCCCCAAATCACACTGCCTTATGACCAAAAACAAATTGAGAACTCAATTCAGCTATACATAGAAGTCCTTAAAATCTGTCTTGAACGGCTATAATCAGAGAGCTTCCAAACATCAACATGGCTCTTAGGCGTGCCTGGGTGGCTCAGCTGGTTAAGTGTCCGACTCTTGGTTTAGGCACAGGTAACAATCTCACGGTCTGTGAGTCTGAGCCCCATGTTGAGCTCTGTGCTGACAATGAGCTGCCCACTTGACACTTCTCTCCCTCTCTCTGCTCCTCCCTGGCTTGTACTCGTGTGCTCTCTCACTCTCTGAAAAAATAAACATGAACAAAAATTTTAAAAATCAACACGGCCATTAACATCTAGGAGACAGTTTGGAACAAAAAGTAAATTAATTGGCGCCAAAGGGAAATCTTGATCTACAGTGTACAAAGAACAGAAGGCTCTGTGGAAACACTCCTAAAAACCTAAAGAGCTCCCAGGACTGGTAGCTGAAACAATTTAGTCTCAAAGGATCAAAAATGATCACCCCAGGGAACATTATGACTAAAAATGCCAACATTTACTACCACTTGTATTTGGCCTTCAAAAACAGTCAAAACTGATTTTCAAAAGGGCAAAAAGAAAATAGGAATATAAAACAGGGTTTCACTACTAAAACTACCTACTGTGCAGGTTCAGTTCACGGCCTTCCTTTTGATATTTCATTTCACAAGTTTTCCTGTGTCGTCTTAGGTGGTTGTAACTGAGCTGCAAACAGTTTTCCTTTCTCACTTATCACGCTGTTTTCCCAGGCCTTCACAAATGCCCCCATTAAGGACCTGACGTTCATAAGCTCTAAGGCGGTAACAAAACCACCATATCAATTTCTTAAAGAAGTTTTTAAATCCTGTAAATAATCCAAATAGAAATAAAGCCATAAATAATTGTCGAAAGTGAAAATGACATGAAAAGCTGTTCCATCTCAATAGCAATTTTAAAACTAGAGGAAGGGGCAGATCCTCTTTCGCCCCAGCAGCATGAAAAAATGAAGTAATACTCAGACTGAGGAACTGGGAATTCTATAATAGGTAGTTTTCTGGAAGGCAGTCTGGCAAAATATATGAAAACGTACTATATGCCTATCTTCTGACTCAGCAATTCTACCCCTAAGAATTCATGCCAAGGAAATCATCAGAAAACTGTGCAAAGATATTTATATAGCACAAGGATGTTGACATTTTAAGACTGAAAGGCAGAAAACAGCCCCAACGTCTCCTAACAAGGGACTGGCTACAAAATTAATTGCCGCACAGAATCCCTCTGGATTAGCCTATCCTGACTTTGTAACCACTGCCATTATGATGAACAGAGGTATTCAATTCAACACATCAAAACAAAAACCAAAATCAAACATTATATGAAATTAACCAAACAACATTTTAATCTCCCTTAGGCGTCTGTGCACACAGTAACTTCCAGAAGGCGGTACACAGAAAGGGTCCTTTGAATCATCACCATCATCTCCATCTTCTATGTATTTTTTTACAATGAAAACTTTGCATAAACACATATTACTTTCTAACACAGAAAAACACTCCCCAAATATAAGTATTTTAGAAATTAAAGATACTCTAAATTAAGGTCACAGTCACAACATCAGTAACACAGGCTCCCTAAACTTACCTCCTTGTGCCTTCATTCTGAGTCTCTTTTTGAGTAAACTTGAAACACAGTAAAATGGTTTTGTAAAAGCACACATAAGAATTCCTACTTGGTGATTATTTGGAGGGGCTCTTCCGCACCCCCAATTCCACAGGAGACGCAATGCTGTGTCACGATTGCTGCTTTAAACTAAACACGGGTGTGTTGTCTTGTAGAGATGGTCTCAGGGAAGTATCAGGTAAGACTTTGGAACTGGTTTCATTAACAAAGTTGCTTCAGGTAACTAAAAAAACATTTTCCTTTTGTTAGATTTCATCTCCACTTCGTTATGCAGATCACCAGCCAGAACCAACAGAAGGCTGTTTGGAACTTAGGACATTAAATTTTATTTTCCTTGAGTAATTTTGCAGGAGTATTAACCTTACATTCTTTTGCTCAAATTTACCAAACTTTTAATGACTCTGAACTTAATTCTAGCACATTCCTAACTTTAAAACAAGTTTGCAGTTTTAAAGGTTTTAGTTTAAAAACCATCTTCGGGGCGCCTGGGTGGCTTAGTCGGTTAAGCGTCCGACTTTCGCTTAGGTCATGATCTCGCGGTTCGTGGGTTCGAGCTCCGCGTCGGGCTCTGTGCTGACTGCCAGCTCAGAGCCTGGAGCCTGTTTCAGTCTGTGACTCCCTCTCTCTCTGACCCTCCCCTGCTCACGCTGTCTCTCTCTCTCTCTCCCTCCTAGAAATAAATAAAACATTAAAAAAAAAAGTAAAAAAAATAAAAACCATCTTCACAATGAATTGTTAGGTTCAAAACATCCCATGCTCTGACAGAATACTCGGCTGTGTGGCATAGGTTAAGAAAAGATAAACTCCTAATAGCAGATCCTGGACACCTGACACTTCTACCTTCATTAAAAAATGGGAAAAAAGTGCAGGATTTTCTAAGTTTTCCAAGTTACTGGGGAGAGATAAAGTTGCACTGTGAGAAGTAGGAGACTTTTATCCCATGTGGAACTTCCGGGAGAAAAGGCGGTTTCAACTTTGCTTTACTACCAAAGTTGGCACACATGACAAACTTTAACTGTAATGCGAGAGCTCAAGTTCACGTTTTATGAAGTGAAATCGAACGAAAAAAAAATTACCAAGCGGAAATAAACTTTTATTAAATACATACAACGCCAGGGTCACAAAAGAGAAGTTGGTACTGACATGTAAACTACGAACGCAAAAAGGGAATTCACGTGGAGAGCAGAAATTACTAACTGGAGGCTTTGGGGAGGGGAGGCACTTTTTGGCAGGAGACTCGAAAATATACAAATTCACGCAACTGACAAATTAGGCCGTTTCCGCTTTTGTTTTTTAAAGCCTTCCTGCATCCTGAGGTTATGTTGCGTACGCTTTCCAGCAGATCCGACAGCGACGACGCACCCTGGAGACAGTCGTCGGGCACTACCGTCTCGCAGACCCTAACCTGGACTTGGCACTTACCGCCCCACAGGTGAAAATCTCACGGAAGGTCCGCTATTTTCAGATGCACAAACATACGTCCAAAGTGGATGCAAAGGCATCAACCGTTTGGGTTTACCGGGAGGTTGGAGATTTGCCCGACAGGAAACCTCTGGGTTCAGAACCTGAATTTCCCCGCCACGCTGGGAAACGGGGGCACCGCGCCGACGAAAGAGCCTCGGCGACTCCCAGCTGAGCCCGGCCCTAGGACCAACGAACCCGGCGCGGCCCGTCCGGCGTCCTTCGGCGGCCGCCGGCGTCAGGCCAGGGAGCCGGGGATTAGGGCCGCCGCCTATGGCGGGCCGGGACCGCCGCCGCCCGGCACAGGCCGGGCAGGGCGCGGGGCCTGAGGGACGGCCGGTCGGCCGGCATCGGACAGGACGCGCTAGGCCAGGGCGGAGGCCCCAACTACCTGAGGATGTTGTGCGCCTCCATGCTCCGGTTCTGGTTGCTCGAGCACACCACCGCCACCCGCAGCGGCGACGACGGCATAGCGGCGGCCGCACTGACCGCGACGCGCCGGCTCCGGGACTCCCACCCAGCCGCGGCGCTTCCGCGCGAGCAAGATGGCGGCCGCGGCGCCCGGAAGTCGTGACGTCAAGGCGGCGGCGTCCGCAACGTAGCGCGTACGGACGCGCGGCGCGGGCGGGCGCGCGGCGTCCCCGAGGCCTCTCGCGCAGGCCCACAACGCCCGGCCGGGGAGGAGGGAGGTCCCGCTCCCGCGCGCCGAGGGCCCAGCGAGCGCTCCGCTGCTCCGGCCGTGCGCGGCCGAGGCCCCCGTCCCTCACGGCGGCTGCTCTAGGCCCCCGGGAGCCCCGCCCCGGCGTCCTACGTCACGAAACCTCGCCGCTGTCGCCGGCAGTGACGGAAGGCGTCGCGCCGTCGCCCAGGACGCCTAGAACGTCCCGCCGTCGTCGACGAGAGTGACGCGTCTGGCGCCGCGCCCGCCGCGACACTGGCTCCAGTCGGCGGTGCGTTGTGCCCGGCCGGCTGCGCTCTGTGCTCGCTCCCGCCGCCGGAGCCGGCGCGCACCGCCGCGACCCGCTCTTCGCGCACCCTCAGGCCGCCGGGCTCCATGTCACTCCTCTCGTGGCCTCCCGCCGCTTTAGTGCGAGACCCCACGCGTCTTCTGGAACAGCCTTCCACCGCCTTGCGTCCTGGGGCTCGCGCAAACGTCCGCGCATCGCTTTCCTCGAAAAACCCTGCGAAGTTTAACCTTCAGTGGACGTTTTGGAAGCGTCTGGAGAGCGGAATCGTGAAGGACCTCCCTCGCGGGTCGCTTGGGAGGCCCTGCAGGCTGGTGACTTAGGGTCATGGTCCGGCAGACTAGGGGGCCCGGCTCGTTATTCTCCGTCACGTCCAGCCGCCGGGAGCCGGGTTCAGAGTGGGCAGTGAGTTGGTGTTTCCTAGGGGAGCACGATGCTCCTCCGTGGGAGCTGTGCTGGGTAAGGTGAGGGACCAGGACACGGAAGGACGGCGGCGGCGGAGGGGCACTGCGTTGACTTGGAGACGCCACTGGAGTGGAACAGCCATGGTAGCGCGGGGTGCTCGGAGCTGTCGACGTGGGGCGGGGGCGGCTTCTCGAATCAGGTATGCAAAGAGGCCAGGTGTGACCACGGACACGGTGGCAGAGAGGCTTCCTGTTGGAGAGCAGGTATGAGACTCAGAGGCCAGGTGGTGAGGGACCACCCTCCCCGGCCCTGAAGTGTCCCGTCATTGCCCCTGCTGTCCCCAGGGAATAAAGAAGCTGAGAACTAGGCCCTTAGACTTTCTCGGGACTGCTGGACATTGGGGGGGCGGGGGCGGGGGCGGGGACAGGGCAGACATCAGCAAGGAAGCCTCTACTTGGGAATGTGGTAGGGGACCCCCCTCCCCCGAAAGAAAAAAAAAGAGCATCCCAAGGCAACCTTGCTATTCGGGATGTGACAACATCCCTCACAACCTTGTAACGTGACACCACTTTAATCAGACTACATGCTTGTGTGTTTCCACATACGGGAGACAAAGAAGTAAGAAAAATATATGAAAACATGCCACGCGGTGTTCGGAGCTCAAGTCTTTGGGTACGAATCCTACTGAGCGACGCCGACTGGAATAAATCTGCTTTCCGGAAAGAAAAGCCTCGGTGTCACGACTGCAGGAATCCCGCTACAGAAGGACTTGGGGGTTTGGGGGATGAATGAGGAGGAAGGAGGGCACTTCCCCGCCTGACATCTATTTATTTGAATATATCAGAACATAAGAAACAAGGGACCCAGAGGAAGGCGTTACAGTGAGGTAGCGGCATTTATGGGCGGTAGGATTAAGGATGCTTTGAATGTCCTTTGTAGTTTTTGAATTCCTTGACTTAGTTTTTTATAACGAACATGTAGTTTTGTTTCTATTCACAACAAATACTAGAGTTATGTACACTTTAAGACCAAATTCCTCAGTGGCTCCCCGTGTACTCAGAACATACTAACCAGGATTCCAAGACATTATGGTCAGTACCCAGCTCTCTTACCTCCTTTTTCCTGTTTAGAATTTAATGGCCCAACAACTAAACAAAAACAAAACACAAACCTGCTTGTCTCATGCCTTTCTTAACCTCTGCATATGCCAACCCCAGAACTCAAGTCTTAGTCCATGGACTGAGATTCAGATAATGTCACCAACTTGAAGAAAGGTTACTCCCTACCCGCCTTCTCCCATCAACCATTCTCTGCTCCCAGCACCACATTCAGCTACTTCTTGGTGACTCGGACCATTGTTTGTAGCACTCTGCCCACCACATTCACCCACACAGCCCTGAAGAGCTAAGACCTCTGTTTCTAGCTGAGGTGGCTTTTTTCTTTACATAGAGCCGTTGCCCCTGTCGGAGGCCCTGAGTGGAGGGGAGATGGTGCGTGTGTCAGTGGTGGTTCATTCATATGGGGCAGTTTCCCCTTATACATGTGGACCATAGTTTGTTCCTCTGCTGACACTGGGTTTTCACTGTTTAGCTATTACAGGTAAAGCTGCTTGAACATCCATATTTGAGCCTTTGTTTGGACATATTCTTTTATTTCTTCTGAGTTAATACCTAGGAGCAGGATGCTTAGGTCCTATGTTTGTATATTTTAACTTTCTAAGAAACTGCCAGATTGTTTTCAGAGTGGATGTGCTATTTTACAGCCCCACCAGTAGCGCTGGAGTTCCCTTGCCAACACTTGTTATGATTAGTTTTGTTAGTTTTAGATGTTTTAATAGGTATGTTAATGTTTTAACGTGTATTTATTTAATGACTAATGAGATTGAGCATATTTTAAAGTGCTTGGTGGCCATCTCTTTCTTTGATGAAATGCCCGAATCATTTACACATTTATCATCATATTACCTTTCAAGCTCTATATGTTTATACATATACACACACACACGCCAGATATGTAATTTATAAATATTTTCTCCCTTGGGGCGCATGGTGGCTTAGTCAGTTAAGCGTCTGACTCTTGATTTCCGCTCAGACCATGATCTCCCAGTTTGGGGGATTGAACCCTTATCGGGCTCTGCATGGACAGCATGGGCCCTGCTTGGGATTCTCGCTCTCTCTGTGCCCCTGCCCCTCCTCTGGTTGTGCTTCTCTCAAACATTTAAAAATATTTTCTCCTTTCCATCAATTTCTTTTGAAGGACAAAAGTTCTTAAGCTTGATGAACTATGTTTATCGATTTGTTCTTTTATGGTTTGTGTTGAAATATCTATATGAAAAATACACTGGGTGAAATTAACTTTAGATTAGACATTACTGAAGAGAAAGTTAGTGAAATTGAAGACATACAAAGAGAAACTATAATTGAAACAGAAAGGATAAAAGCAAACCGCATCAGTGAGCTGCACTGCGATGCCGAGCAGCTGCTGTCAGTGTTACTGACTCCGAGAGCAGGTCTACACTCTGGCTGGTTGTGAAAGGCACTGTTTGAACTCTAGGAGTTTACCCTCGAATCCTTTTTGTCGGTTCTTCTGCTGGCCTCAATCCCCTCACACACAGGCTAGTCAATACTCAGCTATAAATCTGTGTGTCTTCTAAAACAAAAAAAATCTGTGTGTCTTCTTTCTTCTTGATGTTTTGCCCTTTGAACGGTCGGGAGTTGCGTGCTACACTAGCTGAGCCAGCGCTGCGCCCTAGGAAGGTACGTTTGTGCTCTCTGGGAGGGCAGGGTTGCTTAGGAGTGTGACTGAAGGGTTTCATGGACATGTGATCGTGTTGCACCCGCCCATGTCCCTCCCAGTGGTGAGGACGAGCACGTGTGGTGGACGAGCACACGAGAAATCGTATGCAGCAGACAGAAGCCGTCAGATATCCGCATACTGCACCATGATGATCAGACGCGGAGCTGAGTAAAGAAAGATCAACAATACAACTTTGAGGTAAATTAGAAAGCAGATGTGTCTGAGGACACGTGAGAGTGCTTGCTAATGAGGGAAGAAGGGACTGGGCATGGAAGGATTTGTGGGACTAGAATCCAAACTGAGGACAGACACCAGAGGCAAAGAATGAGACAGTCTAGATAAAAGTGGATGGGGCCGGGTGCCTCAGTGGCTCAGTCAGTTCAGCATCAGACTCTTGATTGCAGCTCAAGTAGTGATTCCAGGGTCGTGGGATCAGGCCTGGCATCTGGCTCTGTGCTGAGCATGGAGCCTGATTCTCTCTCTCTCTCTCCCTCTGCCCCCCCCCCCAAAAAAAAGGACAAGGGGAAAGAAAAGGCAGATCCCAGACTCTGTGAGGCCATGTGCTGAGCAGTTAACACAGCCGGGAAGTCAGGAAAGCTGTCTCAGCCCACCCACACGCAGCCACCCACACGCATGGAGGAGCCTAGGGCAACCAGTCTCGGTTCTGCGAGACCAACTGGATGGAGTGAGTTGAATCCCAGGAAGACTGATCGTGAGAAAAGCAGAGAACGAGAAGCATAGGACATCCCTACAGATAAAGGAGACACGGCGGAAAAAGCCAAGCCCAGAAAACATAAAAATCTTAACTGCCTATGTTATCAAAGCTAAACAGAAAATGTCAAGATAGGAAAGAAATGGATGCAGCAGAGAACTAAGGCGAGTCTGGGGAGGCTCTGGGTGTCAGGGTCCCCCGCCTCTCTAGATCCAGGCTGAAGTGGTCAAACCACCTGGTCCCCCAGGTCAGGGTCCTCTGCATCTCCTGACTGTCCCTGAAAACCAGATCCACCAGCCCTGACCCCCCAATCCCGAGGTGACCAGGAAATGCCAGCCCCACCAAGGGCCCCTCAAGAGACTTCTTCCCTATTTGCCTTTCATCCTGTCTACTGCCTTTTGTGCCCCCCCCCCCCCCCCCCAGCTGCGCAGCCTCTGAGAGTGTGACATCCTCACCGGGCCAGCACTGAGGAAACCCGGCTGTTCCCGTGAGGCCTGAATGGGTGCGAGAAGCCCGGGCCCACCCTCATGGACCAGGGGCTGAGCCGCTGCTGGGGCCCCAGAGCCAGCCACCTGGGGCGCTCGGGGCATCTTCACAGAATGCCTGTGGGGCGTTCCTGTCCGCTACGTGGGAAGTAAAGGCTGTGAACCAGCCTTGACGAGCGAGCAGGGAATCAAGAGTTCTGTTT